TATCTTTTAGCGTCCCCAGCGCCGCGCCGGGGAGGCGGGCGGGAGCGGTGGTGCCGCCGTCTGCCCGCCGCGGAGTCCCCGCGGAAAGGAGCCCGCGCCCTCAGCAGGGGCTGAGCACCCGAGGCGTCGCTCGGCTGAGTGGGCAACACGGGGTTTTTAACGTTATTTTTGTCAACGACGTACTTTTGCTGAGCTGTCGAGTAGTTGGGAACAGCAGAATGCGAGGAGGGAAGGATGAGGGAGGTTTCTGGCACGTGTTGATTGTTTGGGATTCTTTTTAAATACTATTATTGTTATTATTCTCAGCAAAATTCTGTCTGTTCAGGCTTGGGTTTGCAAATACAGTGCTACCAGTGTGAGGAGTTCCAGCTAAATAACGACTGCTCTGCTCCAGAGTTCATCGTGAATTGTACAGTGAATGTTCAAGATATGTGTCAGAAAGAAGTAATGGAAAAAAGTTTTGGTAAGAATTTAATAATTATTCATCTGTTTATTTGTGTTGGATAGTATTTGTTGCTTTTGGCTCCACCCATTCCCAGTCTCCAGCTACAGATGAATATGGCATTCCAACCAAAAGAGACAAGATTCAGTTTCTTATACTTCTGAGTGACTTTGCAACTCAATAAAGTTAATCATTTCCCTTTAAAACTTGTGAAAACTGGGGGATGTGAGTGAAATGTTGATAAAGCTGTTAATACACAGTCTTATGGGTCTCAGATTTAGTTTCCCAGCACTGGGAAATTAATAACAACAAGTTAGTTTAATCTTATTACAGTTAATTACATGGGCTTTTTTCCCAAGAGATGGAAGAGCATTAAATTAGTAATTCCCTCCTTTCTTTTATTTACTCTAGCAATTCATATACTCTGAAGGTTCATCTTGAGGAAAGTGTATTCATCTTTGCTTTCATCCATAAAAGAAAACGTCAAGCAAAAGGGAGAGGGATAAAAAGAACATTTGTGGGAGCCTGGAGGGGGGAGAGAAGGCCACAAATGGATATATTTGCCATACTCATTTTCTAAGTCTAAAGAGACTTTTCCCTTACTGTAATTAATATTAAGTTAGCATATTTGGAGATAAGCGTGTTGAAGAGGAAACTAGCCGTGATTCTGTGTCTCGCCTCTCTTGTCTTTTGGGCTGTGCTATAAATTGTTGGGTTTTCATTCAGCACTAGTGAGAGCATTTGAGATTTCTTGGTTTTCAGACCACCACATTGCTTGATATCCATGAGTAGAAGACTACAGCTTTGTCAGGGACTTGAGGGCTGGGCGGGGTGGCGAGGCAGCGTGCCTGTGGGAGTTGGAGTCCACGCAGCATCCTGCCCTTGCTGCAGGCTGCTGCGAAGGCACCAGGCTATGACACCAGGCATGGCAAAGGGCCAGCCAGCAGGAGCTCCCCGCTGTGCCTCACCGCAGAGCTGAGCTCTCTATCAAGCCCTAGGCTGAAGGAGCAGAGGGCAGGTTGGGGCTTCAGAACCCTAATTTAAGGGAAAGCTGCTCTTGGGGACTGCCCATCTTGCAACTGAGGGCAGCGCTTCAGAGCGTGGAGTTTACAGGTGTGCAGGACTGTTCTGCTGTTAATACAAACCAAGCTGTAGTCTGTCCTTTCTCGGTGAGTCCTTCAGTAACAGCAGGATCCCTCTACCTAGCAAACCTGAGCAGCCATCTGTCCTGAATAGTAACATTGGTTCTTTGTGTTAGGCAACTACACATTTTTCAAGGTGCTTGTCAACGGGCTAGTTCTGCTTGTGCTGGTAGTTTCAGATCACGACATTAGGAATCGTAGAAAAATACTAAGAATTGCTGTTACCTATCAACAGGAGCTGAACTGCTGGTACTATCTTTCATCCTGGGTACACCATCCACAGTGACTAGATTTCTGTAAAATATTTAGAAGCTCTCCAGCGTAGAGAAAAATCTGTGCTTAAAGATTAGTCTCTTTCAAGCTATATGTTATTGGAGTATTTTATTTCAAGTTTACTTGGAAAGGGTGGTTGGGATGGGAGATAGTTAGAGCTTGCAAGGTACTTCTAAAGTCCAAGTATCCCTAAATGATTATTTGAAGGCTTTGCTATCTGCACACCACCGCTGCTGTAGTACTTTTAATAGATTTGAGTTGATGCTGTGGCAATTTGAAGGGCTGTAAGCATGGTATGTAGACATAGACAAAAAAATCAGTTTTCATTTAATTCTTAACAATTGTTTGGCATTTGTTGTTGTTTTTTTTAAGATATCTTCCCCGGTTCCTTCACTTTTTCATCTCAATATGACCTCAGACTGTACCAGCCTTCCAGAAACATGTCTATAATCTTCCCTTCAGGTGAATGTTAGAAAAGTGTTTGTCAGGTGAACCCCTTGCAGCTTGCAGTGCAGGCCCTCCGGGTCAGTGGGCTCGCACGTGGGCATACACAGCCCCGCGGGTCTGGCGAGAGGCGGCCGCTTGTGTGCTGCCTGTGCAGAGGGGGCGGTCAGTCACACATCTCCTCTCAGACTACCCAGCAAGACCACAGCCACAGGGTAACTGTGGCACACTGAAAATGCAAATTGGAACTGGTAAAAGATTTTAGACATACATTGATGCATAACTTGTCTTTATTTCCATGAAGAAATCAGTTTGTGATATAGTAAATAAGGAGGTCTTAAAAGAAACTTCTGTGTGGTTAATTTTGTGTGTGTGTGTGCGTGTGCAATTTTATATTGTCTCTGAGCAGATCCTTGGATTTTCCCTTTAGGAGGTAACTAGCATGCTGTGCATAGCAGGTACCACTGTTCTGTTTTATTTAATTTACTTCTATAAATGCAGTTCTTACTCATTTTAAGCTTAGAGATTGTAAATTTTAGCTAGTGAATAAATTTAAATTTTTAACCTAACTATTTCAAATTGAGTGAAATTTACATTGCAAGCTTAGTTTCTCTGTTATCCTCAGTCAATTCTAGAGAGGATTGGTTGTAAAACAGAGATGATTCAGTTCATCATCCTTTATTGTTTTTTTTTCCTAATTGATATTTAAATGTGTGCAATATAAATGCCTTATTCTCCCAAGTTTTATTTAATAATTCATTCTACTTCTACCAGTATATTTCATAACTTGATTCTTTTGGTTGTTGCTTATCACTGGAAGCTGAAATGTTTCAAATATTGATTTTAATTTATAATAGACTTGAGCTAGAATTTTTAACCCAGAATATGAAAGATGTGAATTTGCATTTATTTGACAGCACAATCTCATAATTAGAGTTTTTCCTCCTGACTAGATACAGTCAAAGGAGCATAATTTAAATTTTGTAGACTAACCCATTTGTGTCCTTAATAAAATATAACCGTGTCAGTAAGCCAAATGTTACAAGTTCTCCCGAACCATATTTAAAAGTTAAATGCAATATTTTGAGATAAAGTTCGTGGTCTGAATCACTAACCTATTGATGTAGTCACCCTTCCTTTGCAGTATGCATTAATCTGTGTGTTCATTTGGCTATCAAGGGGGTCACTGGCTTACATTCTGTGGTGTGCCTACATTGTAGTCCCCAGCATGTAGCCAGTGAGACTTTTTTCTCTTACATATTTGTTAGTGTGCACTGAGTTGTGGGATGACAGCTCTATGCTTCAGCTTCATTTCTGTATTAAACTTGCTTTCAACAACACAGTGGAGAATGACAACTCTGTGCAGTTTTTTACATTTAGGTTCCTTATGCCTGATTATAGTTGAACAAACCATTCCAGCTGCCATAAAGTTAGGGTTAGGGCTTTAAATATCACTGTGTTCCCTCAGAACATTATGTTAATTTCTGGAGAACCAGTCTCAGGACATACTTTTTGGCTTCAGGTGAGAAATAACAGCAGCATAGGCATGTTCCTAACACACGTCTTAAAAAGTGGCTGTTACTGTGACAGCCTCTGATGTGAGTAGCTAAGAATGCAGGTATTAGTCAGTAATATTTTGAATTAGATCAGCAGGCATGTTATCTCAGCTGTTTGTAGTATCAGGTAGAAATTTGCTCCGTTGCACAACTTTAAATAAATTGAGAATTGAGCAGTATGTAAGCGTATATCTGATTAAGTGATTATAGTATAATTCTGTCTCCCCTGCAAACATGCACTTTGCTATGGCAGTTTGCATTTCAGTTGCACTTTGGGGAGCTGTCAGGACACAGAATTACTGGAGACTCTGTCAAGTAAATGACAAAATATTTTTCTCACTTGTATTTAAAAATTTTGCTAGAAGTTTTATACTGTTATATTAACATTCTGTTCCAGTGGGAGATACAGGACAAGAGAGTATTTTGCCTGTAATGCAAAATCTTGCAAACTACTTCGTTAATTTTATCTTTAAAAAAAAAAAAAAAAAACAGTGCTTTTTTCCTTTAGAGGGAAGAATGGTGAGAATGGGAAGTGGCACTGAAGACTATAGCAAGTAATTTTTGTCCCACATAAATTAATGTAAAGGATACTTTTCTAGTGCATTCTTCAGCTGGATAAGCAGTTATTTGAAAACTGTGTAAATTAAATGTGTCATAAAGGACCAAAGTTCTTGCTTATAATAATTCCATTTGCAGCTACTTTGTGGAAATACTCATGGCAGATTCCCCTCTCCCACTCGTCTCTCTCCTTCCCATCTATGAACTGCTAACTTAGAAACATCAGTGCTCCTTTGGTTTTAGAATATATGTAGGAACAAAGAAATCCCACAGTATATTGGGATCAGATGAAACGTCTTGATGATATGTAGATGAGCATATAATGTGTATATGCTTTTATACATAGATCATAATGAAGTTTACCTTTTACTGAAGGCAAGCGATATCTGAGTGGAAAGGCTGATCTAAAACCTACTTAAATGTGAATAGATCAGAAAGGAATAAAGCATGAAGTCAATCAGCCCAGAAGGGTAGCCAGTCTAAATTTCTCAGAACTTTCTATAAGTGAACAACAATGTATCTTGTGCTCTTACATAGTTGTGAATGTACTTTGACAAACTTTTACTTTTGCAAGGGGGAAAAAAAAAAACAACACAGTAGCAAGACTGATAATTTTAAATGTCTCTCTCTGTAAAACCAAGATTGTTTATGAATTTTCCTTTGCAAGTGAATTGGAAAGCCTCATTTTTTCTATTAATCTACAATAAGAAACTTCTGTTATTTGTTTGGCTTACAATGGTCCCTTTAATGTATTTACATAGTATATAATCCTGCAGTGTAATTAAAGCAATTGCTGTAATTGTGTGCTTAACAGTAGTGCGTGGGAACATCATGAACAAGATCATGACCTCACTGTTGAATTACAATTTTATTTATTTATTTATCTAGCTCTTCTCAGTATTGGTTTCCCAGTCATTTGTTTTATCAGGCAGAGGAAAACAGTGTCTAAGTTGCCCTACAGTAAATTTTTTACCGGTGATTATTACTTTTTTATCTTTCTGTGTTGCTGCCATGATTCGTTGCTTTGTGTATAGCTCTACGGATTACA